TATATAAACAGAAAACCTCCATAGTGTAAAACCATTTTTTAATGGGGTATGTAAGTAATAAAAATGCCCACTCACATGCTCCTTCACCTCTGACACTGCTCTTCTTCCTCATGCTAAAGATGTACTGCATGGGTATTCAATACAGGAGTTTCAAATATGGCTCCCATGCCGGAAGTGACGTCACCGCACACCCGGTCATGCCTCCTCGCGTACCCTTTGGGGAGGCATTTCCAGGTGCGAGCTGACCCTGTAGGGTCGATATACGGAGGTGAGGGGGCACTTTGGCCACTAAGGATTTGCACGGAGTGAACACATATCAGCACTTGCATGAGCATTTTATATTGAGCACCAATATTGGACATTTCATTTTTTCTTTTTGTGTGGATTTATTTATCATTATGTTGATTTATCTATGTAATATTTTTTGGTTTATACTAGTGGTTTTTACAAGTGTCGGATAGAACACTGGTCACATTTATTCCCGCAGGGAATTCACGTTTTGCACTGTTTATATTGTACCCCGTGTGCACTGGGGGGTTTTTGCATTTAGTTGTGTTTTATATTTATTTATATATATATCATCTTTAGCGCTGCACTGTTTTATATTTAGTCACTTCACTCATTTAGGTAAGAGGTTAGTGCCAGCAGCTTGAGTGTTAGGACCCCGTTTTTAGCGCAGGAGGATTTTCTGTCATTAATTTGATCAGTGTATTCTGGGCAGCAGTAGAGTCCTGCTGTCGGAATACAATGGCACAGCAGGGAGGATTCCTCAATTCACCTGGCTTGTGTGGAGTTAAAACTATGCATGGATACCCAGCTTAAGTGTATCTGGATGTCTCTAACTACAATTCTTCCTAAGTTACTGACCTGGAACAAGTCCTGATTAAAAAGTCAGAACTACTGATATGTATACTTGTTTTGGGCCAGTGCTTTAGAAAGAATTAAAGCCATTTGACCATAATGACGTCCAGGCCATTCGCATTTTTAGAGGGAGAGGTCAACCATGGCAGCTTTCCTATACTCTCTCGTTCCTGTAAACCTAAAAAACTAAAGAAGAAACATTAATTGGGAAGTAGTGGTTATTAAAATCTGCTGCTTCAACATTAATGGTATACTTCATTAGATCTGTCATAGTACATCTGTCAAGTATGTGGTGAAGCACATACTAGAGGAGGAAAGTGTGGTTTTCTACAAAATATAACTCTACCGTTTACTCAATATTTACCTCTGTACAAAAATATACATATAAACATATACATAAAAGACCTTCATACAGTGTTTCTTTTTAGAAAATAAAAGTAGGAAGATAAGCTGAATTTACTACAAAAAGTGTCTCTTCATATGGTGTGTGTACACCGAGCAGCTGCAGGCCTTTCCAGTTTTACATATTTCTACTGCACTAGGGTATTAGATTTACCTTCCTACTACAAAGTGCTGGTAAAACCCCAGGGTTTCAAGTAACCAAATTGAATCAATTCATTTCAATATCCGGACACTGGCTAAACACAACATTTAAAAGTACCTAACCAATACACCTAAAGTAAAACCTTGTATGACCTAAATGTAATCCTAGCGACTACAAAATTTAGCTAAAAGCTCTATAGGTTTTTATCCAGCCCTCCTATAGTCCATATAATGTAATAATACATGTGCTTGTCCTAGAATCTATAGTGCCTTGAAAAAGTATTCATACCCCTTATAATTTTCCATATTTTGTCATGTTACAACCAAAACCATACATGTATTTTATTGGGATTTTATGTGATAGACCAACACAAAGTGACATATAATTGCAAAGTGGAAGGAAAATGATAAATGGTTTTCAAATTTTTTTACAAATAAATATCTGAAAAGTGCAGCATACATTTGTATTCAGCCCCCTTTACTCTGATACCCCTAACTAAAATCTAGTGGATCCAATTGCCTTCAGAGTCCACCTGTGTGTAGTTAATCTCAGTATAAATAAAGCTGTTCTGTGAAGCCCTCAGAGGTTTGCTAAAGAGTATTAGTGAACAGCTTCATGAAAGCCTAGGAACTCACTAGACAGGTCAGGGATAAAGTTGTGGAGAAGTTTAAAGCACGGTTAGGTTACAAAAAAATATCCCAAGCTTTGAACATCTTGTGGAGCACTGTTCAATCCATCATCCAAAAATGGAAAGAGTATGGTACAACTGCAACCCTACCAAGACATGGCCGTCCACCTAAACTGACAGGCTGGGCAAGTAGAGCATTAATCAGAGAAGCCAAGAGGCCCATGGTAACTCTGGAGGAGCTGCAGAGATCTACAGCTCAGGTGAGAGAATCTGTCCACAGGACAACTATTAGTGGTGCACTCCACAAATCTTACCTGTATGGAAGGAGTGGCAACAAGAAAGCCATTGTTGAAAGAAAGCCATAAGAAGTCCCATTTGCAGTTCATGAGAAGCCATGTTTCTGACACAGAAAACATGTGGAAGAAGATGCTGTCAGATGAGACCAAAATTTAACTTCTTGGCCTAAAAGCAAAAAGCTGTGGCGAAAAACTCACACTACACATCACCCTGACCACACCATTCCCACAGTGAAACATGGCAGTGGCAGCATCATGTTGTGCGGATGCTTTTCTTCAGCAGAGGCAGGGAAGCTGTCAGAGTTGATGGGAAAATGGATGGAGCCAAATACTGGGCATTCTTAGAAGAAAATCTGTTAGAGTCTGCAAAAGACTTGAGACTGGAGCAGAGGTTCACGGTCCAGCAGGACAACAAACCTAAACATACAGCCAGAGCTACAATGGAATGGTTTAGAGCAAATCATATTCATGTGTTAGAATGGCCCAGTCAAAGTCCAGACCTAAATCCAATTGAGAATCTGTGACAAGACTTGAAAATTGCTTTTCACAGACGCTCTCCATCCAATCTGACAGAGCTTGAGCTATTTTCAAAGAAGAATGGGCAAACATTTCACTCTGTAGATGTGCAAAGCTGGTAGAAATATCCCCAAAGAGACTTACAGCTGTAATTGCAGCGAAAGGTGGTTCTACAAAGTATTGACTCAGGGGGGCTGAATACAAATGCACACCACACTTTTCACATATTTGTAAAAAATGTTGAAAACCATTTATCATTTTCCTTCCACTTCACAATTATGTGCCACTTTGTGTTGGTCGATCACATAAAATTCCAATAAAATACATTTACGTTTTTGGCTGTAACATAACAAAATGTGGAAAATTTCAAGGGGTATGAATACTTTTTTAAGGCACTGTATATGCGCCGTTTGCCAACATACATAAATAACACCCTGATTACACAGTTTCTAGATGGAAAGTACATTGGTCTATGAATGTGAATATATTCCTGTATATTATAGTGTTTTGTACCCTATATATAGCCCCTGGTACATCTGCTTTGCTATAAAATAAAACTAGCATGCATGCATTCTAACAGGAAACAATCACCTTTTCACATTAATTTTGCAATGAGTGTTTAAAATTTAAGGACTCATAAGGACGAATCCCAACACAGTACAATACTGTACAGAGGAATGTCTTGTAAAATTGCTGTAAATCATTAAAACTATATTGATAATTAAGTAGTTTGTCTGAATAATGGCATAAATAAATTTTAGTATCCCTGATACCTTTATATTAAAATTTCCTAAAGCGAAACTTAACCCATGAATTTAATGGTTTCTAAAAAAGTTATATTCCAGGCATGCTGGGAATGCCAACTGTCACATTTGTTTGTGCCAACAGCCATTTGATGGGTTGACCGTTTGGTTGATGTCATAACTGATCACATGTGCAGCATCATGGCAACTGCAGATCAAACAGAGTCCAAGATGGCAGCTTCCTTGACTGAAAAAAAAAATAGGAGGGTTTACTTCCGCTTTAAATAGTGGGATTATCCTCCTTCCTAGCATCAGATTTTTTTAAATGTTAAATGCAAGCAATGTGAGAGTAATAGTCAAATATACATATTAATTCCTTTTCCCAAGGATCACAGTATGCCCCCCTTTTTTATGTGTTTTTTTTTACAGAAGACTGAAACCATCTTTGATCAGTCATCATTTAGGGCCAGCATAGGCCTTGATTAAAATATTTTCCCTATATCTGGTAAACCTTGACGACTAAGATACGGGCTGTATGCATATGTCTCCAACAGATCAGTCCCCTGCTGTCTCTCACTGTTTTCTTCCTACCAGCAGCAGACGGACAACACTCTGAAAATGCACCTCTCAGTCTCAGCTCAGCATTTTAACCCAGAGACTGCTTTTGATAATATAAAGTGCAGCTATTGTCTACGTTTTACTATTATTGTATATTGTGACAGGTCAGTAATTTAATAATACAGACTTGTTATATTGAAAGCTCTGCTTAAAAATTGCTTTTGTAGGAACAAAAGTGGGAATATATGCACTAGAAAGCCATTATTAGTTGCTATATTACTGTAATCTATAGGGCTAAACTTAAAATCAGCAGGTTTGTGGTTTTATACATAGACAAATCTAAGATTTAGCCACTTTCCACATGATCCCAGAGCACACTGGTCTATTCCTGCCAGCTACATTGTTTTACTCCTCTCACACAGATGCTCAGAGAGGTAGCAGACCAAACTGCCATTAACTACATACTACTTCAGAAATCACAGATTTTTGCAATACAGGTACGGACATGCATAAAAATTGCTGTGACTAGATCACATTGTGCTGGCTGACAAAACATTGCAGTTGAAGTATGTAAAATTATATCTTAATTTATGTTTTTAGCAAGGTAAACATTCCTTCATTAGATCGTGTAGGACCCTAAAGGGAAAATATATTTATTATCTAGAGAAGAGACACAAAATCTATGTGTCATAATTTTAAAGCAAGGGTAAGTAACCTTTAGTTGCACTGTCTACAATAAAAGGTATGGCTTTCACCTTATTTTTTAATCTAATAACATCTGAAGGCAATAGTGACGCATGTATTGCACCTGCAGCTACCAAAAGCTATTGGGAGTATTCTGGTTTCCCAGATGTTCAGGCAGCTTTAAGCTTTTTGTGTGAGGAATAACTGTAGCCTAATTTACTCTTATACATAAGGAATATGGATGCCAACGCTAACACAGCACCCAGCTGTGGAGGCCCACATGGACTATATTCTTGTGCTATTCCAGACAAGAGGGGTACCAGTATGCGTCCCACTGATGTCACTGACTGCCCGACTCCTATTAGTGTGCCACTTCCATGCTGCTCGCCTAGTGTAAGTTCAAGGTCCACAATACAAGTCCTTCCTATACTGGTAGAAAAGGCCAAGAATGTTGAAGACAAAATTACTATCCACATTTTAGGTGCTACTGAATACACCAGAATGGAAAAGAATGTGAGGACACTTGAATGTAACAACATGGTGTAAGTATTGTACTGATAAAGTCTAGATAGTGGTCCCAGTGAAAATCCAGCCAAGGCTCCAAGAGTACTGCCATAACTAATCAAGAAGCCAGTCATTCGAGGAGTCATATGGAATCTTTCTTCCATCGCCAAGGCAAAGTTGCTGTAGTACAGCATTACAGATATTGCCATGAGTAGACGGACTAAAAATATGTCCCACATCTCAGAGAAAGCCACACCTGTGACTTTCTTAAAAACGGAAATTATTTGCGCCACTACCGTCTGAGCAGCATTATTTGGCTTCTTCCCATTATCTTCCTGCAAATTATGTGATATACTAGAATCTGGTGGCTGGTTGATCCTTAAAGTCACACTACTATCAGGGTGAGCAAAAATGTTCAGTTTTTCCCCTGTTTGTGGCATAATCCAAACAAGACCTGAAAATAAGCAAAATACACACATTTAAATTTCAATGACATTTCAATACTACAGATTATTACAGCATTTGTATGTCAATAATAAAGAGCCCCATTGATATGTTCAAATTACATTCTCAGTGTTCATAAGAATGTGAACAGTTCACTTAGAATTAATTATTGCAATAATTTCTCTTATATATTAATAATGACATGTTGCCCTGTTGCAAGTGAACAATGCTATGCATTACTAGAGGGGTCACCAGCAGGAGGAAGGAGGTCCTGATTCCGCTATATAGATCTTTAGTTAGACCTCATTTAGAATACTGTATCCAGTTCCGGAGACCTCACTTACAAAAAGATTTTGAGAACATAGAACAAGTCCAGAGATGGGTAACAAAAATGGTGAAAGGTCTGGGGGATAAAACACATCAAGAATGACCTCAGGAACTTAACATGTACAGTCTAGAGGAAAGAAGGGAAAGAGGAGACATGACAAACGTTTAAATACATGAAATGGGTGAATAAGGTTCAGGAGGGCAGTATTTTCAACAGGAAACCAAAATCAAGAACACAAGGACATGACCTTAAACTAACTGGAGGAAAGTTCAAAGCTAATCTCAGAAAGTATTATTTTACTGAAAGAGTAGTTGATGCTCGGAATAAACTTCCAGTAGAAGTAGTGAGCCAGCCAACAGTAAATAGCTTCAAACATGCTTGGGACAATCAGATCTATGCTCAGACGAAAAAAGTTAACAAAGAAAAAAAAAAAACACAAAACAAAAACTGCAGCTTGCAAACAAGGCTGGTGTGAATGTAGCCTAACACTTAAGGAATAGCCAAATTGCCCTAGGTTACACGATGTTTTATCAGGAGACTAGATTGCTCCTTTAACCAACAAAGTCTCTAGGAGCCCAACGAATTGGGGTATCTTAACAGCTGGCGGGGCCACGTTGTGCAGCATGGATGGTAGAATTTTATTTTTTTTTGTTCACCCTGCAGGAAGCCATGCAGGAAAAGCTGCAATAAACAGGGTTTAAAACGGTTTTTCTATGTTGCATACTTTGGATTCAAAATCTCAGCATAAATAGCTTATTTTACTCTTCTTTGGTGCAGTCATGTGACTGCACAGGTCTGGTTTCCCTGTGTCATTGAGTGGCTATGGTGACTGGTGGAAGGGAGCACTGACAACAGATACTCCGTTGAAAGATGACAGGTAATATGTCAAACTTTTCTAGACTCAGTCCTGTTGTTGGGCTTGCACAGCTACACAGAGGATCCAGAGTTGTGCAATCATGTGAATACACCAAAGCATTAAAAAAAAAAAAAAAAAGAAATCATACTTACCAGTAAATTCCATATCTTGGAGTACAGCACAGGGAGTCATAGACCATGAGTTATATGTAGCTATGTTCTGTTGACTGGACAGTGGCTAAAGCTTTGCTGGGTATACTCCCAGCGCACCCTCACTTAAGCTCTACCCACTCTGTGGGACTCCAGTTTTGTAGCAAACAATATGTAGAAACAGAAGACAGAGGGGTGGGAGCTGTGTCCTATACCGTACTGAGGGATAATCTGGAGGGAATGCATACACCAGTCTGAACAGGGACCAAAAATAAATCACCAGGACCTTCTCCACGAAAGCCAGAGGACCTCTGGATCTGGCCACCAACCCGTTCAGTTTTTTGTTGAATCTGGAGGCCATGATGTTCACGCCTGGTAATCCCCCATTACTAACAGAGCATGAGAAAGACACCAGGGTGGAAGGAGGAGAAAATCAGAAATAAATCAGGCTTGCTTCTTTCAGGGGTACCCGACTTCTGGTACCCCCTTGATCGGTAATGTAAGCCACAGTTAGGGTGTAGCTGAACATTGCCACAAGTGACCATGTAGGAGAGGGATACAGTGTAAGAGTCAGTCTTATGGCTCTCAGTTCCAGAATGTTGATGGGGAGTGTCAATTCCTGTGGGAAGCAAGTTCCCTGGACAGGAACCTTAAAGAAGGGGACATACCCTGAAAGCTTGTCCTGAAAATTGTATGTTAGTGCAAATAAAAAAAGTATCACGGACAGTACTCAAGTGTTCCTGGACAGTTAGGAATTTATTAGACCCTTCCCCAGCCTGTCAGGCTTGCGTTCCCCATTACCACCTTCCAGAGAGACGGAAGGAACAATTTCCAGTATTCTAGGTCTGAGCTGGAAATCCAACATGCCAGGGAGATTTTTGCCTGGCTGGAAAACAGTAGTGAGTGATCCAGAGAAAGGTTTGTACTCCCATCATGAGAATGTTGAGTTGCAAAGGTCATGAGTGGAACTGAGCAAAGGGAATCCCCTTGAAAGAGGCCACCATGAAACCTAGAACCATCATGGAGAAGTGAGTCAAGGGATGCCTGGTTGACCTAAGAATGCAACAGCTGGACCTCAGAGAAGCATTTTTTTTCCTGGGAAAGAAAAATTTGGGCCTGGGCGGAGTCCAACATAAGCCCCAAATACTCCAGGTGATTGGAAGGCTGACTCCTTAAAGTTGAGCCGCCATTCTAAGTTTGAAGCAACTTCTAGATTATCTTTTGAATGTTGGAAGACAGGACCGTGGCTAAGAAATCTCTCAGCAGAAGGAGGTTCCAGGTGCCCCATGACATGGATGCCTTGAAATCTTAGCAGGGCCAGGAGTGGAGCAAGCAATTTCTGAAGACTCTTCAGTCAGAGGACAGCTTAAATGTCAAGGAGACAAATTGAAAGTGCTGGTCTCACACAGCAAAGCATAGAGAAAGTATTGGTGTGTCGGAAAGATGGGAATGTTAAGATACGCATCCTGGATGTCCACTGATGCCAAAACTGCCCCTCATCTGAAAGAAGTGATGACAGATCTAATGAACTCCATGCTGAATTTTGGGATGTGCAGATATCTGCTTAGGGATTTTAGGTCCAAAATAGGGAGAGTAGTTTTGGGACTGTGAATAGGTTTGAGTAAAACCCTTTGAACCTTTCCACAGCAGGAACTACGTTTACCACTCCTTGTGTTGGAAGCTGACTCAGGGCTGTCCAAAGTCTGCCTGTCTTTAGGCTGAAGCTGACAGATTGGATGGTAGTAATTAAAGAGGTAGGATAGAAATTCTATTTTGCAGCCCCTAAATATGACAGATTTCACTCAGAGGTCCAGGACATTTCTGATCCAAACTGGCACATTGAACTGTAAGAGTGTCCCTTCACTTGTGAGGAGAGCTTCTGTGTAGGCTTGAAGGCTTTTCGGGTTGAAGGTTTGGGGTAAAATGACGGTGCTGCCTTTACTTTAGAAAAGGATGCCTGGTTGGAGCAAAAGGACCCCTTTTGTTGAGAAGAGGCAGTAGCTGCAAGTAGTAGTAAGCTTTGGGTTTTTTTGGGGGTAAAAGTACCTTCCTTACAGTAACTTCATAAAATGTATCAAGGATTCACCAAACAGGTTGTTCACCATCAAGCCACAAAATTTTACTCATATGCACAAATAGCAGTGTCATCCTTGAGACCTGGCAAGGAATATCCTCTGGGGCAACAAAATATAAAAGCAGCGCCGAAGGCATAAGCTGTAATTGTTCCAGCAGAAAAGGGTCCTCAAACAGGATCACGCTCTATTCCTTTGCCCATTCCAGTTAGCAACAATCTGACAAATGGATTTAACTGTAATGCCCAGTTGTAAGGCAGGACCCAGAGAGAGCAAAGGTTGCTTTCAATAGGGTTAAAAGAATCTAGCAACAAAATTCTTACAGGAGGAAACATTCTTCAGAGGTACGGCAATATGAAGCCTTACCTTGTGCTTCATAATATTCAGGAAGTTAAAATGTCTCTGCATGGTCCACTTCTGCATCCATCTCACCTTCCTTAAGAAGGTTAGGAGGTTCAGAGTCATATTCCTAAATACTGTAGATTCGAGTGGAGAGGCAGAAGAGCACTTTTGGGCCCTGGACACCAAACATTCTAGAAGGGAAGAGAGTTATCCAAAGAAATCAGGCACGGTTGCATTGCATTCTGCTTTAGACAGTTTGTTGTGCATCTCAGAGGAAGCTAGAATTAGAGGAAGGAGAGGTGTGGATGTTGGGCCTTCCTCTGGTGCAGGGGAACAGCTACCACCCTGAGCATTTTGCTGTTTTTTTTTCTCAGTGCCATCTGTAGCACAAGTGCCATCAGGCCCTTTTTTCTCAACTCCTCTTAGCCTTGTCTCGACCATTGCTAATTGAGGGGATCCCCTGCAGTGTACTTGGATACGGAATGAGAAGATATTAGCATTTCCGGAAAAGGAGCTGCAATATTTCAGGTACAGACCTATGTCTTGTGACTGTATTTCTGGTACAGCAGACCCCTGAGAAACAAGCAAGTGCATTTTTTGGCAAGTGGAAGTACATCAGTCGGAATGCATAGTGCAATTATGTCACCATGCAAGTATCAACAATGTGTGGGGAAAAACCCACCAACTTTATAAAGGTAAACATCATAATAACTTTACTTATCACTAATGTAGACATTTACAGAGGGGAGAACAAAATTAAGTGAATAATACGCCACATGTAAAAACAGGACCCTGTCACAAATACAGGGAACCCCTGTCTTACGTTCCCAGAGGGGACCAAACTTCACCCTTCATGGTTGGCATACCCCTGAAGGGGTCTTCAGGGTCTAGGTGCCATAGGAATGCATCATCACCCTAGACCTGTATAGTACCTTGTGGCTAACTACACTTTTTGCACCACATGCAAAAGCGAGCACTGGGCACAAGGCTGGCCTTACTGCTGTGGAGTACGGTTCCCTAGGTGTACATATAGGGTAACAGATCCAGAAAATGCTAGTGAGCCCTGAGACAATAGGATCGTGATAGTAGAGTCAAAGTAGTAAAAAAATATGGGTTAGAAAACTTCTCCAGAAGAGAAGAGGTCCATTACTTAAACTGTAGTACCACAGAGTGGTTGGTGTTATAGAAGGGTGTGTTGGGGGCATTCCAACAGTCTTTGCCAGTGTCCAATCACCTGAAGGTAGAGGCATATAATCCATTGTCAATGACTTCCTATCCTGTACTGTATGATTAAGATAAAGGTTTTTAAGGCATGTGTTCTGCAGGGGGAGGCAACATTTGAAACCTTTTTTATTTAAGCCTGTCTTACTGAATTGAAATTTACTTTATCACCACCATTTTCCCAAACATTACACTGAAGAGATTTAATTCTTCTAACAGTGTCACCTGCTGCAGTCTATCCAAAAGCAGCCTAACTTTTCACACTAGTTAAAAGCAAAAGAGACTGCAAGCCAAGCAGCCAATATCTATGGGTCCCTTTAGACAGAGCAAAATCCAATTAAAAACATTAAATGCAAAGTTATTGGGAAGGAGAATGAAGCAAATTGATCTTCACTTGCTTATAAACATTTTTTACATACCTGCATTTATTATAAATATGACAGTACAGATTAGGGATGTCATATAAAAACCTCCCTGCAGTTCAGCTAGGTAACCACCAACAACAGGACCCAGGATAAAGCCCATACTGGAAGCCGCATTAAACCTCCCCATTACATGGGGGCGCTCTTTTTCACTTGCAAGATCTGACAGGAATGCTTTTGATATGGAAAGTGAATGCTTAAAAATTCCTGGAAAAAAAAAAAAGGAAATATGTAATCACATATATAAACTGTTGAAAACTTGTTTTCACTATGCATCTGTAATTAATTTCAATAATGCTTTCATCTATTCTACCACAAGAAAATAAAGTACTCAGGGAAAAATACTAAATTATTTAAAATTTTAAAGTTAAAATCAATTTTGATTTTTCGTCGCACTAATATAGGTTTGACCTATGTTGTCACCTGCTGTACAAATATGCTACTGTGATAACAGAGAAGTAAAACGGACATGTATTTTATTTTTTTTTACCCTCCAGGTTATCCAAGCCACAGAGAGGTAGAATCATCCCCATTCAGTAGGTGGCAAGACATTGTGTAATTAAACAGTACCCCTACTCAAATAAAAAGTATTAGATTGAGAAGAACCTATATTTTATCCTTCTATAACAAACTCTACCCTTAAATTACAATAAGTGTTTTTGTACTGTAATGTAAGCTGTCAAAACACTCGCATGCATTACATTATATAGATGCACAATGAAAAATCTCTTCCTACTTCACATATTGTATCAATGGTAAGTATAAACCTCAGAAATGCTAAAGGCTACTTTACATATCATTCTAGGGAAGCACTGTGTAAGAATCTGACAGTTGTAAAAACCCTGCTACAGGTATAAAGTGCATCCAGCAGTTATGTCTGAATGTCAGGCATATTTTTGGTGCTTCCTGATAGTGGCAAAGCTTGCATGCATCCTTCTTCCCATTCCTATTGGCTAGTGAAGCAGACCATTAAAGTGGTCATAACGGAAGGTCACCAGAAAAGAACATGCATATATGGAAGGAGCACCAGACCAAAAGATAAGAGTCCAAATATATTTACTGATATTGTGTTAAAAGACAACCAACACGTTTCGGGGTAAAAAGGAACTCCTCCTACATTAGAGCTTCAGTTCAAGTGGTAGTAAACCACGGCAGTGGGAAAAAAAAATCCCCTGCAGGGCAATAGTATAATGTGCAAGTATGCACTGCATATTAGCACATTATAAAAAAACCTTAGAACGAAGCTCCCCAGCAGGGTGCTGTCACCGCTGACAAGTCTTCCATTTTCACCCGAGATTATAGTCTTACCTGTAGGTACAAATCACAAAGCAGACTTTACTACCACTATAAAAATGAGAACCTTAAGTGGACTCAAAGAAAAAGCTTTCCTGTTTGAATCTGTGCAGGAAAGCGGATTGCTGGATAAGGATTCCTATATCAGCAGTCAAAATAAGAACATAACGGAAGGTGTAATGGCGGGAGCTAGCAGCAAGCTTCAACATGACCTAGATGCATCAAACCTTTGCATTTCGGAGTGGCTGAGTATTCGGCTGTAAAGGGAAGTTTTTTTGAGGCTGCTGCAGGTTAACTGTGCATGTGCTTTTTTTTTTTTTTTTTTTATTTAGCAATAGAATCACAAAAACAGGAATGTCTGCTCAATCCTATGTGTAATGTGAGTCCAGAAGATGGCTGTGGTCAACCAAAGTTCAGAAATTCAGATTTCTGAACTATAGTTTCTTAACATCCCTTCACCTTCTGCAGCCATTTAGCTGTCCTATTTCCACATTCCGGCATTTAACCTGAACTGATTAGTACTATTTTTATATGTTCGTCCCACTTAGCCTGAATATCTACAGATATAATAGTCATCTAGAGGACGTACTGTATTAGCAGCCTAATAGAAACTCTACGTTAGACATGAAAATGGAATTTTCTCTCTAAATGTGCTCACTTCAAGCTCTAATAAAAACAGGGTCTCAAAAGATACTTTGTAAGATATTAGGTAGCAGCTAATGGTGGCTACTTACCCACAGGTATCCTAGCAATGGCATAAATGTAAATATTAATGGACACACCAAGAAGACCATAGCCAAGAGCACTTATTACAATACAGGCAATTAGTGAATATCGTCTTCCAACAATATCACTCCAGCTCCCCTGCAGAAAAAAATAAAATAAAAAGGATGAAAGGATGTTTACAAGAGCCGTTCTTTTATAATCACCATTTAAAAACCATCGCCAGCAAGTGCTAGGCCAGGCAACTCTTAGCAACCAACCAGATACAAAACTTCCATCTACAAGTCTGAATGTCACGGACTGCTATGGGTTGTGTGACAGTTCTTTCATCAGATAGTGACTCCAACATTATTATAACAAAACCTTGTTTTTTTACTAATTGTCCTCCAAACAGGCAGAACAAGTTTCTTGTCCAAAACAGTGAAATGCACCAGCAAGTGCTAACAAATAGGTCACCTCTGTAGATTGCAATGTGACCTAAGGCAGACATAGGCATTGAAGCCTCTATTCTCAGTAATGGTGAATGCAGGCAATCTGGCAAGTTGCAGCATATTTTAGAGCTGCGCGGGATGGAACAGATGGCAAGCTTCATCGTTAAAAATCATTTTGAAACTGGTATTCACCTACAGAATTATAAACTTCAGTAATGAAGTTTTTAAATATTTCTTTACACTGAAGATTAATGTATAACTTTTTGGACAAAGTGGAGAGGAATTAGAACGTCCTGTCTCCATTGTCATTAAAAGTGAAAGTAAAAGAAAATCCCATATTTTGGGCTGTTTACAGAGACGTAATAGAGGGGGAATCTTCCAATGAGGACACTAGTTCTGGTGACCTAGGGGTCCCCAAGGGATTTCCTTAATTTTCAGGGATTTCCTTTCACTTCTTGTTTTGGCTGAGACAGAAAGTGAACAGAAATCTCTGCAATGGGACACAGATGACAAAAATAAATTGACAGGAGTTGTGACCTTCCCGCACTCTATCCAAAATGAAAAAAAAAGTGAAATGCCCATATTTTGACACTTGTATATTTAAAATCTAGTCATAGACAGGGGCAGACTGACCATTCGAGCACTCGGGCACTACCCGAGGGCCTGGGGTCAGTAGGGGGCCCCATGAGATGCCCCTGGTACCTTTTCTTGGCTTTTTTGGGTGTGGGCAAGGACACGGGGGCCCCATGATCCCCTATTGCCCGGGGGCCCCATGAGTTGTCAGTCTGCCCCTAGCCATAGACATTTGGTAATCAATACCTCTGAACAACATTCAAAGTAAGGGATGCAGACCTGAAAAGACAATTTCTGGTACTGTTTCCTGAGAGAAGAGCAATTGTGCGTTGGTGCCTGCTGTCCAGAAATAGGCTATACTCCAATCAGAACAGTAGATGCGATCATCTTGGGCAGCTCCCCGCTTGTGTGTATATTTATTTATATATGCACACATACAAACATAAATACAGAAGGTAAAATAAGTATTGAACACGTTTCCATTTTTCTCCATAAATATATTTTTAAAGGTGCTATTGACATTTAATTTTTACCATGTCAGTAACAGCCCATGCAATCCACACACATACAAGGAAACCAAACCAAATAAGTTCACAAAGTAAGTTATGGGTAATAAAATGGAATGACACAGGGAAAAAGCATTGAACATGCCAACTGAAATGTAATACTCAGTACTAAATCCTTTGTTGGTAATGACAGCTTAAAGAAGCCTCCTGTATGGAAAAACTAGTCGCATGCATTACTCTGGTGTGATTTTGGTCTATTCTCCCACACAGTCTTCTAATATTGAAGGTTCTGTGGGCATCTTGTATGAACTCTGATCTTTAGTTCTTTCCATAGACTTTCTATTGGATTCAAATTAGGCGCTTTATTTTCTTTCTTTGAAACCAATTTGGAGTTTCATTGGCTTTGTGTTTGGGATGATTGTCTTGCTGAAATGTCCAGCTTCGTTTCATCTTCATCATCCTGGTAGATGGCAGCAGATATTTATCAAGAATGTCTTGGTATATTTTTCCATTCATCTTTCCTTCAATGACATGAAGTTTGCCAGTACCATATGCTGAAAGACAGCCCCGCACCATGATGTTCCCACCTCCAAACTTCACTGTATGGTGTTTTTGGGGTGATGTGCACTGCCATTTGATCTCCAAACATGGTGCGTATTATGGCATCCAAAGAGTTCAATTTTGGTCTCACCTGATCAGACTATATTTTCCCAGTATTTTTCAGGCTTGTCTAAATGTTTTCGACTGTGATTTGTAGTTATGCCCTCACTGACAAGAATGGGCTGGTATACTACAAAATAACAGAACAAAACTACGCTGCTCCCCTTGTGCACTGCAGATTCTGCTCCTCTCATCCACTTCAAAGGCCCCCCATTCCCCATCCATCCTCCTTCCTTTATTTACTTTTCTGTTCTGCTCCTCTTGTCCACATCCACTGTCTATCCAGTACTGCTGCTCTTCCTCGCTTAGAACATTCCTATTGTAATGCTCTATTCCTTCCCCTCCCCCATTTAATCTCTTCCTCCACATTTCAGCATTTCCCTGTACTGCACTGCACTTGTTTTTGCCCTTCTGCATGCCTTTCTCCAGACAGAGATTTGTATCCATAAGTGACACCAAGGCAAAATTAGGGACATTCATTTAAGGCCCATGAAAACAATCCTGGCAAACATATTTAATTATGCCTTAGATACTGCATCATGTATTATGTTATGAGACCTTGTAACTTTTAATTAAAAAAAAAAAAAAAAAAAATGATTCTTAAAAAAAGAATTTAGCTTTCATCTGGTTTAAAGTACCATGCTATTAACAGTGCACAAAATATATTTGTGTGCACTGCACTAGGAATAGAAAGTGTTTATTGTCTTTACAATTGCTGGTTGCTGAGTTACTCCCAGCTCCTTTTAGAGAAGTTCACCTTTAAGCAGGCACAAAGGGTTAAGTCTGTATTAATAATCTAAGTCAGGAATGTTGAATTCCTACTGCTCAACTCCCAGGACATGCAGTTTTGGGCGCTGGGCAGGTATTTTTTTTTTTACCTTTAGCCCTGCTGCGGGTAAGCAGTCGGATGGCGCTGCTGCCGATTGCTTCCACACAGTGCCAGCCTCTCCCCCTCCTGTGTGAACCTCCCCGCGCCCACTGTCTCCCAGGCTCCGCTTGCCCATCTGCGGGCCTGGGACCAGCTCACCTAGAGGCTAGAGGGGAGGGAGGAGAGCGGACACATCCGCTCCCCTCCCCTTCTTGTCCTGATCTGGAAGTGACGTTATGTCACTTCCGGGTCCCCGTTGAGAGATTCTCGGCCATGGAGGCCGGGAAAGAATGTAATGCGGTGCGCACGTACAAACGTAAAAGCACACACTGGGGCGTCATGCATGAGAAAAGTGAGATTGCGATACACGTCACATATGAGAGCAATAATTCTAGCAACAGACCTCCTCCATAACACTATATGGATGACCTATAAGGGTCTTGAAAAGTGTCATCTATAGAAAATATAGGTTACTGAAGTTCGTCGCCATTTCATGAGCGTAGGCAAATTTAAGGTTTGACATGTTGGGTATCTAGTTACTCGGTGCAACCTCATCTTTTATATTTTACCATAAAATAGGGTAATTTCTTGCTTTTTGTGCCTAAAATTAACTTACTTGTATTTTTTTATAGAACTTTTGCAGTAATATCATGGGACGTAAAAAATTGGAGCTACCATTATTTTATGCTATAGGGTCTCTGGTTTCAGAAAATATATAATGTTTGGGGGTTTGTGTAAACTTCAGGCCTAAAATGATTATTTTAAATGTGTGCAAAAACGCAAAAACGGCTCTTGCAGCAAAACGAATAAAGGATAAGCCCGGCACTCCCCTTTCCTGAGGAGCAGCTCTGAGGAAGAGGCTGAGTCATCGAAACGCGTTAGACAGTTGGTTATCCAAGGTTCCATTGTTGTGGACTCAGATGCTATATGGATTGAACACCGCTGGTTATTGTGATGTGCCTGTGTTTTATATCTCCATTGTGAGTATGCTACCTACATTTTATCCTTTCATTAAATATTTTTTATGATAATGCACTAGGCTGGTGTGCCCTCTTCTTGTTTTTCCTTTTGCATTCAGTGACTTTGGGCTACCCCGGTCCATTGAGGGCAGCAAGGAATGCATATTCCAGGACACTTATATTGTCACCCTAGCCTCAGCTGAGTCCATCCCCAGCGCAGGAGTACAGAATTTGCTGTGGTAGAAAATATAAAATGTTTGGGGGTTTTGTGTAACCTTTAGGCCTAAAATGATTTTTTTTTTAAATGTGTGCAAAAACGCAAAAATGGCTCTGGCAGCAAAAGGAATAAAGGATAAGCCTGACACTCCCCTTTTCTGAGGAGCAGCCAATCGGAGCTCATTACACTGCAAGGTCTCGCTCCTCCCTGCTAGTCTCCAGGTAGAGTGCTGGAGAAAGGCAGGGAGGTGAGGAGAAGATATACAGCACAATGTTAAAATTATTACATGCCATAAAGCCCCTTTTGTTTTAAAAAAATTCCTAAAATCACCTCCAATTTAAATACAGTTCTGATTAAAATGTATTTATTTTTTTTATCAAGACAAGTAGATTGTCATGATGGACAAGTGGATTAGGACACTGATTTACTCCCTGGACAAGCAGTTTTTTTCAAAAATTTCCACACCCCTGTAAGTGGAGAAATACATGTGTAATACAAGGGTTTAAATATTTAAAAATTAGCCTTTTTTATCATTCTTTACAAAAGCTTGGGGGTAGCTCATGACGGGTACATTTTTAGCAAACTAGTCCTCTTTTTTGCATGCAATGTGTAAGCAAAGATCTGATCTCCAAAAACAAATCTACCATAATCGAACCATGGTTTTAGCTCTGGAGGGGAAGAAAGCTAGATCTAACAGCATTGTGGGAAGCTTGGAGCTCACATGAGTTAAACCATTTGCTGACTATACGTATAGAAACTTTTTTTTTTTTTTTTGGGGGGGGGGCCTCTTTTGATTACAGTATACAAGACTAAAATAGCACCCTAATAATGTGTCATTTACACACTCACCACAATAGAGCTAGAGAAGAGTTGCAGGATGCCATAGCAGGAACCTGTGTTAGATAAAATAATGAAACCTTTATCAGTATTGCATAGGTCCATGATGTGTATAATATAATAAAACAACAGTAGTTATATAATATATAATATAATAAAAAAACAAGAGTAGTTTTTTATAAAAGCCGTGTAGCAAATAAAACCTTATATGCAAATAAATATATTTTTTATTATTTGTATAAATATATAACAATTATATAGGTAACCACATTAGTTATAGCTAAGTTTAGTGAAGCATGCCAACGCTGCAGAATTCAGCCTGGGATCTATGCTTCAATGACCTCTGGTAACAGAAAGGTTAAAGCAGTAAAGCAGAACTAAACCCATCAATTTAACAGTTTAAAAAAAAAAAAAGTTACATAGCATGCCGAGAATGCCAACTGTCACATTTGCTTGAGCTTTCAACCAAACTGTCAAATCATCAAATGGCTGGAGCTATAATTGATCACATGTGCAGCACCATGGCAGTTGCAGATCGAACAGTGGCTACCATGGCAGCATTCTTAACTGAAAAGGGCAGGAGGGTTTAGCTCCATTTTAAGAAAGATTTTGCGAATTCTTTTATAAGATCAGCATGACTAAATATGAAAGTTAAAGCTGAACTCCATGCGCATTGAAAAGATAAACAAATTACTCTGTATTCATTAATCCCTTACTGCCAACTCCCACTTCTGAAGGTAATGAGATGGACTTTCTGATCACGTGATCACAGTGATTTACTCTGAGTGATCATGTGATTAGCAGCTCATCTACGTCCATATAAAACAGATACATATGCGGCAGCATGGCATAAAGCACCTCTGTGCTGCCACATATATGTGTATGACCTTCAGCATGAGGTTATTACATTTTAAATGTGTTGTTTACATGCAAGCTGTAAAAGTACTGGAATCTGACTAGCCTCTTCCAGACTCTGTACAGCAAAGCTCAGACTGGGGGAGGAAAAAGCAGCACAAGGAGCTAATCAGTTTTGCTTCTGCACAAGAGGAATGCTAATAGGATGAGACATCAGAGTGACAGAGAGAGTAGCTTATCAGTCTATTGCTGTAGATAAAACACCTCCCTTGTGTGCAATTATTACGTGTGTTTAGTGGTTTTTCTGCAGTTTTAATCTTTAACCACTTGCCCTCGTGAGGATGTACCCCTCTTCCTGACCAGGCCATTTTTTGCATTACAGAGCTGCATTGCTTTAACTGACAATTGCGCAGTCATGCAACGCTGCACCCAAATGAATTTTACGTTCTGTTTTTCCCACAAATAAAGCTTTCTTTCAGTGGTATTTGATAGCCTGTGTTTTTTTTGTTTTTTTTGCGCTATGAAAAAAAAAAAAAAAGACCGACAATTTTGAGAAAAACAAAAAACAATATTTTTGACTTTTTGCTATTAAACATGTCCTGTAAAAAAATGTTAAAAATCAAATTTTGTCATAAATTTAGGCCAAAATGTATTCTGCTACATGATTTTCTAAAAAAATCCCAATACATGTAAAGTAATTGGTTTATGTGAAAGTTATAGCGTTTACAAATGGCGGTATATATACTGGGATTTTTTTTTTTTTTTTAACTAGTAATTGCGGCGATCAGCAATTTATAGCAGGACTGCGTGTGTCAATCTAACACTGGGGGGAACAAACTTGGTGTCACTGACATCCCCAGTGACAACAATACAGTGATCGGTGCTAATGAAAAAAGGACTGACACTGTACTAATGGCACTGGGCAGGAAGGGGTTAACATGAGGGGCGATCAAAGGGTTAACTGTGTGCTGTTTTACACTGTGTGACTGTGTTTGTGCATCACTGTAAGCACACTGCTTTGCATGGCTCTGCTATGCACAGCCATGCAAAGTAATGTGCAGGAGCTGACAGGGGAGAGAACTGTTTTGTTTACAATCACCGGGTGCCAATGAGTAATCCCCGACGCATGCGCCCCCTACCGGAAGTGCAAAATCTCACACTCTCACACACAAACACATACATACACATATACATATATATATATATATATATACACATATACATACACATACATATATACACACACACAAATTTTGCACACCTGTGCTACCCTGTAGCAGTACTTCTGCTATATTGCGGACAGGAAGTGGTTAAATAAAAATATTTGTCAAGAGAGTAAAACATGCTATAATATTTCATTCAGTGTAGATTCACACATCTGTGTTGTGAATTGACACTCCATTTTCACAGCTAATTGACACAGTGGTTGTTCAGAGGTTCAGGTCAGGTTTACATCAGGATCAAGAGAGAGAAAACTGGCCTGAAATAATGTTCACAAACACATGACGTGCAATTCAGAAGTGGTTTCCATAGAAGTAAATGAACCTGTAATCTGCACTTGAACCGGACCACACTGCTCAGAAATCGCACAGGACTTTTTCAATCTGCACTGCCAGTGCACCGTACATGTGTGAACAGGCACCATAAGAAGCAATGGTATTTCACATATCATGTGGATTGGATGCAGTTCAAACCGCATCCAATCTGCATATATGTGAATTGGCTTTTAAACAAGCAATAGCTACTTATGTCAAACAGCACAGAGTCTAAGTAGTTAGCACTTTTGCCCGGCAGCACTAGGGCTGTCAGTTTGAATCCCAACCACGGCGCCACTTGCCTGGAGTTTGCATGTCCTCCCTGTGCCTGAGTGGGTTTCCTCCGGGTACTCTGGTTCCCTCCCACACTCCAAAGAAGACATGCTGGAATGTTAATTGACTCCTTTTTAGGGACTGATGTGAATATGAAAATATATATATATATATATATATATATATATATATATATATATATATATAAATAAAAGCACTGTGTAAATTGTTGGCGCTATATAAGTAACTAAACTAAATAAAAAACAACAGCATGTTCATACTATTCTCACCTGCAATCACAGCAAACTATAGTTGCTTATTTAATATCTATTTTCTGCATAAATGTACACATTGTATCACATATCGTATTGGAAAAAAAAGATTCATGAAAGGGTTACCTATTATACCAGCTGTTGTTGGACTGGCCCCAAGGGATTTCATGTGATGATTCAGTAATGGCACAATCATACTCACACCAAAGAGGTCCTTGAAAAAAGAAAAGGATCAGATATAAAATATGCTCTTGTTATATGTTTGCAACATTTTTACAAAAGGCACTATTTCTTCTACTGTAGTTAATGTGCACCCAATCAAAAGGTGAAAAAAAAAAAAGCCGTCAGCACACAGAAGTTCCTCTACCACCTCCTACTGTCCTGGACAACAAAAGTTAGCAGAGCCCTTATCCTAAGAAATTATATTCATGGATTAGCCAGTTGACATTTGGGCATCCACAGAGCAGGAGAGGTGAAAAAAAGGATCATCTATCCATTAACAGAAAATTCAAGTCTTTATTTTTACTATGGGCAGTACATGTGCTTTTAAAGATCACATTTTAAAATAGCTATACTGCAAGGTCATTTCTACATGTATGTCAAACGTATGGGCATGCAAAGGGAAAAAATACCTCCCTCCAACCAAATAAATGTCTGAGCTGTGTTTGTGACCTCCAGACCACACACTACCTTCCATGAATCAGCAGTAAGTGATACATCTGCTTTGTCTCTTTGTGCCCTTCAAATCTGTACAGTAGACTCTTCTTCTCATAAGACCACACACAAACCATTGTTCCAATATACCCGGTCTGTGCTCTACTCTTTAGTGGAGTATCATTTCATATCAAAGTGCATTTATTAGTACAAACTGAAAGGGATCAGCACAAATGACAGTACATTGAATGGCAACTGACACTTGTGCTGGTGACAGCTGTTTTAGTTGAAATCTTTCATCCTCTGCCCCACTCCCACCATAATCATCTGGTTTATAAGGGGTTGATACAGCTACTGGACCTGTCACAAGAATAGAAAGGTGAAAAAGACAGAGTGGTCCATTGTGTCTGTCCATTTATTTTATTAATCTTTTTTTTTTGGGGGGGGCGTTTTTTTTTTTTGTTTTGTTAACTTTTTCATACAGATCTATGCTTGTCCTGAGTATGTTTGAATCTATTTACTATTGACTGGCTTACTACCTCTGCTGGACATTTATTACAACCATCAACTACTCTTTCAGTAATAGAGTACTTTCTGAGATTAGTTTTGAACTTTCCTCCAGTATTCATCAAGCATGCCAACTACGTCTGTGTCCTTTTTGCGCCCTTTCTGGAAGAGGCGGACCTTTCACTTACCTGTCTCCCATTCATGAAGGAGGGGGAGCAAAGTGTGGGCATAGTTGTCTTGATGAGTGCCTCCAACAGAGTTGTATTAAAGCGGAGCTCCACCCAAAATGGGAAGTTCCACTTTAAGCCTTTGTCCCTCGCTCCCCATTAAGGATTGGCACCTTTGGCGAGCGGGTACCCAAATTTGACAGGTACCCGCTCCCACTTCTGCTGCGATCTCCTAGGCCAGGGGTGGGCAACTGTGGCCCTCCGGCTGTTGGTGAACTACAAGTCCCATCATGCCTCTGCCTTTGGGAGTCATGCTTGTAACTGTCAGTTTTGCAATGTCTCACGGGACTTGTAGTTCTACAACAGCTGGAGGGCCACAGTTGCCCACCCCTGGCCTAGGCGATCGGACGTTGTCCTCCCCGGTAACCGGTCTCAAAAGACTACAGGACCATTCACAAAGCTCAGCACTTCTCGCGCATGCACAGTGGGCACCCAGCAAACAAGGCTAGGTTCACATTACTTTGGTTTCCTTGTAGCTGCATCTGTGCTTTCACTTGATTGGGCTGCTGTACTGCAGAAAGAGGTCCCTGCACTTTTTCAGAAACTGTAGACGCATGGAAATCGCATGGTGCTTTGTGTTTGTACACACAGGAAAATGCACTGTGGGGGGGTTGTTGTGTGTTAGTGCAGAGGAGGGAAGATTTCAACTAAGGCTAGGTTACCTTTGGGACTAGTTCACACTAGCTTTGACAGCAGTCATTTGAACGGAACATATCATGGAAATGATACTATGGGCAGCAGGTAGTGCTGTTCACATTATCAAAACATGAAGCGTTAGTGTTTATACTCCTATTCAAAGTTAGAGTTTATTATAGGCATTTGTGGAGCGGTTTTAACGCTTGTAAAATGCCTTTCAAACACCTCAAAACTGCACATAGAGCATTTGGGTAGCGTTTTTAACCACTTGCCCTCCATAGGATTCCCCTCCCCCTTCCTGACCAGGCCATTTTTGCGTTACGGTGCTGTATTTCTTTAACTGACAATTGTGTGGTCATGCAACGCTGCACCCAAATGAAATTTGGTGGTATTTGATAGCCTGTGCATTTTGTATGTTTTACGCTATAAAAAAAAGAAAAAAAGAAAAAGACAATTGTGAGAAAAAACAATATTTTTGACTTTTTGCTATAAAACATGTCCAGTAAAAATTTTTAAAAAAAAAAAATCATAAATTTAGGCCAAAATGTATTCTGCTACATTTTAAAAAAAAAATCCCAATACGAGTAAATTAATTGGTTTACATGAAAATGATAGCGTTTACAAATGGTGGTATATATACTGGGATTTATTTTTTACTAGTAACGGCGGTGATCAGCGACTTAAAGCTGGACTTCGGCGGACATTCTGACACTGGGGGAACTGAGTTGGTGTCACTGACATCCCCAGTGACACTAATACAGTGAACAGTGCTAAACAAAAAGTACTGACACTGTACATGTCCCTATTTAAATTGAAGAAAAAGAGAAGGGGAACAAATGAACTAGAATGCATTAAAAAACGCACTAAATGTGCTGAAAACACATCAAATATGCGCAAACGCATCTGGACTGCGTTTCTATAGTGCGAACCAGCCCTCAGACTTTGTGGGCAGCAGCCTGCAGAGTTTTTGTGTGTGTGTTGGGTCAGCACAGCACGTTTTCCAATTCCTTTATTGAAGTGTGACACATTGACAAGCTCATATCTGCATTTCTCTGTTATGGCGTGAACGAGGAAACAATCGTTTTCTTTGTAATCTAGCAATGACCTGTTTTTGTGCAGGAAAATTCGGGGTTACCGCACCCCAAAAGCTGCCAATACACTACAGACTGTTCAATCCGCACGTTCCTAACCCCAGAAACCACTAAACAGCTCATCCACTCCCTCATCATATCACGACTCGACTACTGCAACTCCCTCCTCACTGGCCTGCCTCGCCGCTGGCTATCCCCGCTTCAGTCCATCCTGAACACGGCTGCCAGACTCATTCACCTTTCCAACCGCTCTGTCTCCGCCACCCCCCTCTGCCAATCCCTCCACTGGCTTCTGATTGCGCAACGGATCAAATTCAAAATCCTAACGCTGACGTACAAAGCTGTCCACCATACTGCCCCGAACTACATCACTGACCTTATATCCAAGTACCACCCAGCACGCACACTCCGCTCCTCACAAGACCTCCTTCTCTCTAGTTCCCTGGTCTCCTCCTCCCATGCCCGCCTCCAGGACTTCTCCAGGGTGTCACCCATCCTCTGGAACTCCCTGCCCCAACCCATCAGATTATCACCTACTCTCCTCTCCTTTAGGCGCACCCTGAAAACCCATCTCTTCAGGGAAGCCTACCCCACCCCCTGCTAACTTGCCTCCCTCCTCCACTCTTCCTACCACTCCATCCCCCACAGCTATCTCCTCCTGTACCACTATCCCCTCCCTCCTAGATTGTAAGCTCGAAAGAGCAGGGCCCTCGATCCCCTCATGTTTTGCATTGTATTGGTATTGTTCTGTCACATGTTCTGTCTCCCTTTGTAATGTACAGCGCTGAGCGAACTATTGGCGCTTTATAAATACTGTATAATAATAATAATCTGCTTCAGATCTACCAAAACTATGACAGATGGAAACAATGCATTTCATTTACATCTAAGCAGGCACGGTATAGTTGATGGTAGATCTAAAAGGAGATTGTACAGTGTATGGGCACCTTTAGATTTACCCAACCTAGGTCATAAGCAGCTGCACAATATATCCAATTTGTATGCAACCAAACCAGCCCTTGCACTACATAGCTGACCAGCCTTCACAATTTCCTAGACCTAAAGGAGACTGTCCAATGGAATTCCATGTCACTAGACTATACTGACTCCACATTGTATTAAAGGACACAGCCCACCACTCATGTCCATCACCATTCCCCTCCCCACTCACCAAAAAAGCCCACCACATGCAGGTACTGCTGTAAGCTCCGCCCATTCGGCGTCCTCGTTGGTTCGGCAGCCCCCATTCTCCATCATCCATACACAGCACCCCCCAATGCAGTACGTTCCAGCTCAGCCGCTGCAACTAACCACAAACCCGGAAACTTCCGAGTGCCCTGGCGGAAACAGCCGAGCAACTAGCGCATGCGTACTTGCTGCTGCAGTCGGCGCTGTAAAGGTGTGACGTAGGTAGGCGTGTGTTGACGTGAATGAGCAAGGAAGTATGTTCCGTCTCGTAGTCAACTGGCAGTAATGTCATGGCTGAAGCGAGCTGGGTTGTAAGGGCTATAAGCAAACAATGTGACAGCATTTTAAAGGGGTGAGAATGGTACATGAGGTCATAACATAGATAAAAGAAGGTGAGAAGAAAAGTGTTTTAAAGGTATGGGGATGTAGCTGCGCCCCATCTTCAATGTTCGTGCATACATCACCTTTTGTAAAAATGGATTCATAAACCTATGTTAGAAAAATAAAAATCGATTTGTTAAGAAAACAGTGTGCAATGTGTGGGCTCCTACAGACTCTTCCCCAGGTCTATATTGTGGTACGGATGGCCCTTCAGTCATGGATCCAGACGTAATCAATGGACTACTGATTGGAGTGACATCACTGCTCTGGTGTTCCATGTGACCGATGAGTCCTGCTATCGCAGGGGTTGTTCATAGATCCATAGTTGCCAACATTTCAAAGAACTTTTCAGGGAAACCTTTCTTCTGTGTGTCCAATAAGCCATTAATTAGGAGGTGGGGCATTCATTTCAAATAGGCGTGGTTCTACAAGAATTATATCACTATTATATGAATGAATTTGTTGCAGACAGAAGGATGTAGGGCAGGGTACAGGGGTCAGTAGTATGTAGGGCAGTGTACGGAGGTCAGTAGTATGTAGGGCAGCGTACAGGGGTCGGTAGTGTGTAGGGCAGTGTACAGGGGTCGGTAGTATGTAGGGGCAGCGTACAGGGGTCGGTAGTATGTAGGGCAGCGTACAGGGGTCGGTAGTATGTAGGGCAGCGTACAGGGTCGGTAGTGTGTAGGGCAGCGTACAGGGGTCGGTAGTATGTAGGGCAGCGTACAGGGTCGGTAGTGTGTAGGGCAGCGTACAGGGGTCGGTAGTGTGTAGGGCAGAGTACAGGGGTCAGTAGTATGTAGGGCAGCGTACAGGGGTCAGTAGTATGTAGGGCAGCGTACAGGGGTCGGTAGTATGTAGGGCAGCGTACAGGGGTCGGTAGTATGTAGGGCAGCGTACAGGGTCGGTAGTGTGTAGGGCAGCGTACGGAGGTCAGTAGTATGTAGGGCAGCGTACGGAGGTCAGTAGTATGTAGGGCAGCGTACGGAGGTCAGTAGTATGTAGGGCAGCGTACGGAGGTCAGTATTATGTAGGGCAGCGTACGGAGGTCAGTAGTATGTAGGGCAGCGTACAGGGGTCAGTAGTATGTAGGGCAGCATACGGAGGTCAGTAGTATGTAGGGCAGCGTACGGAGGTCAGTAGTATGTAGGGCAGCGTACGGAGGTCAGTATTATGTAGGGCAGCGTACGGAGGTCAGTAGTATGTAGGGCAGCGTACGGAGGTCAGTATTATGTAGGGCAGCGTACGGAGGTCAGTAGTATGTAGGGCAGTGTACGGAGGTCAGTAGTGACCATGTCTGTCTTCATGTGTCACTCTGCATCACAATGCATGGCCTGAAGTGACATATACGGGCACACACGGCACAAAGCCCCGACAGTTGTGGAGCCATGTGAATGACACTGCAGCATTGATTCAGTCTGTCTGTGAACAGCTTTGAATTCTGGGATGCAGCCCAGAACAAGATCTCCTAGGGACAACATTTTAAAAACTGTGACTGTCCCTGCCAATTTAGGACAGTTGGCAACTATGTAGATCTCTAAATATGAAGTCAGAAAGAGGGAATTATCTGAAAATGGTGCGTGTGCAGACTCAATCATCAATGTACACCGATCAGCAATAACTTCATGACCACCAACCACCATCATGGGTAGATCTCCCTTCTGCTGCCAAAACAGCCCTGACTAATCGAGGCATAGACTCCACTAGACTTCTGAAGCTATGCTGTGGTTTTGGGCACCAAGCAGTCAGTAGCAGTTCCTTTAAAGCGATACTAAAGGTTCTTCTATACCTGTTGTGTGCAGTGGTTTTGCACAGAGCAGCCTGGACCCTTCTCTTCTCAGGTCTCCCCCAGGCTCTCCTGGCTCCTCCTTTCTGTCAGGTGCCTCCATAGCAAGCAGCTTGCTATGGGGGAACCCGCTACTCTGTGTATCCATTCACACATACGGAGCCGTGGCTTGGCACTGCCCCCCCCTCCTCATTGGCAGACTGGCTGTGATTGACAGCAGTGGGAGTCAATGGGTCCCACTTGCTGTTTCAGCCAATGAGGAGGCAGAAACCCAGGACAGCCAAGGCTGTCATGTATATTGCTGGATCTTAATGGGGCTCAGGGCTGAGGGGGCATAGAATGCATGAAGGTAAAAAAAACTTTGAGTTTTTACAACCATTTTAATGCAGGCCATAGACAGGTCGAAAAAAAAGGCGATCAATTTTCGCACCGTTAGTGGGTTAATTGGTCGGCTGGTTTTTGGTAAAGTTAGAAAAAAATCGTCCGATTTTGCCGATCGGCCGATTTTCCCGGCAATGATGGGCAAATCGGCCGATCGTTTTACCGATAAAAAAATCTGCGCATGAGCCATGACCTGCAAGAAGAAGAAGAATAAGAAAAAGAAGAAAAGAAGAAGAAGAATTCCAGTCCGCTATTATATTTGACATGAAAAAGTATAGCGGTTGCAACAATGTATCTATTTGTATCCAGATAAAACCATCTGTATCTGAAATGGATACAAATGGATACATTGTTGCAACCACAATACTTTTTCATGTCAAATATAATAGCGGAGCTCTCTGCAAGGGACAGAAGTAATTAAATGCCGGCCGTAGACGGGACGAAAATCGGACAATTTTTTTTTTTTACCATTGGTGGTAACGTCGGCCTATTGAACGACCAATTTTCCATTTTTTTTTAAAAAAAAAAACGGAAGGTTTTCGACCCTTCTATGGCCTGCATAAGTCCTGTAAGTTGTGAGGTGGATCCATGGATTGGACTTGTTTTTCAAGTGCATCCCACAGATGCTTGACTGGATTGAAACCCGGAGGATTTGGAGGGCAAGTCAACACCTCAAACTCGGTTGTTGTTGTGTTCCTCAAACCATTTTTGAATTACTTTTTCAGCGTGGGGGTATTATCCTGCTGAAAGAGAGAATACACCACAGCTGTGCATGTGATGTAAAAGTAAACATGATTCTAATGCTAACTGTAGGTGCTTTTGGCTGTGGTCACAGGTCAGCATGGGCACCCTGACCAGACTGACGCTACATAGCCCAATACAAAACAAATTGCAATGCCTATTTTTTCTGCTTTCACAACATCAACTTCAGGGATAACATGTTTACTTGCTGCCTAATATATCTGACAGACTTTAAGATGCCATTTTAATATCCATGTATTTACTTTACCTGTCAGTGGTCATTATTATTTATAGGTATTTATATAGCCCCATCAATGTATGTAGCACTTTTCATATATTGTACATTCACATCAGTCCCTGCTCTCAAGGAGCTTATAATCAAAGGACCCTGACTCACATTCATACATACACATACTAGGACTATAGAAACTTAAAAAAATTAAGACTTACAACCACTCTAAATGCATTGTATGGCACCTTGTGTACTTATGTCATTTATTTACAGTTTGCAGTTTATATTGCTATAGTACTGACACTCTGATAGTCCCCTCCACTGTCTACTTACAGAAGACTTTGTATTTTGTGAATGGGTTCACATGATACATAGTGTCATGTGACTGGGAAAGAGGAGAGGTCGGGTGGGCAGTGGACCCTTTGGCTGTCTTAAAGGAGATCAAATTCTAAACGTTAAATTAAAGAGAGGAATCCATGAGGTCACATACACCTTATTGGACTTAACCCAGTAAGCCAGCACATTTTATACAGTGAGTTAAATTCCGAAGTTTTTCATGTCCCGATGAAGGGAGCAGAGCTACAGCCCTTGAAATGTGTTGGCTTTTCAAACAAACTATCATTGGAATAAATGTTTATTTGGACTTGAATACCACAGTGTGCCGCTTCAATTCCTTTTTTCAAAACCTGCATGTGCAGAAGCTCCCAGCCCAATATTCAGATAGATTTGATGCACACCATTGCCATACTGTTGAATGATAACAATAATATAACACACTATATAGAAGCTCCAGCACCTCTTATCCCCTTTCTCGAGAACAATACTTTCTAAAGCTGGCCATACACTAGTTGATTTTTGAATAGACGTTACATAGTTGGTTACATAGTTAGTCTGGCTGAAAAAAGACAAAAGTTCATCCAGTTCAACCATAAAAAAAAAAAAAAGTTATAATCCTATACCCACAGTTGATCCAGAGGAAGGCAAAAGATCCCAGTAAAGCATGATCCAATTTGCTCCTGCTGGGAAAAACATTTCCTTCCTGATCCCCCAAGAGGCAATCGGATATTCCCTGGATCAACGTTACCTATAAATGTTAGTATCCAGTTATAGTCTCTGTATCTAAGAAAGAATCCACTGATCCGGCCAGAACCGACTCTTGAGGGAGTCTATTCCACATTTTCACACCTCTTACTGTAAAGAAACCTTTCCGTGTTTGGAGATTACATTTCTTTTCCTCCAGATGTAAAGAGTGCCCCTTGTCCTCTGTGATGACCTCAGGGTGAATATCTCTACACCGAGTTCACTATATGAACCACTGATGTATTTATACATGTTGATCATATCCCCCCATAATCTCCTCTTCTCAAGAGAGAATAAATTCAGTTCCTCTAATCTTTCCTCATAGCTGATCTCCTCCATGCCTCGTATCAGTTTGGTTGCCCTTCTCTGTACTTTCTCCAGTTCCCCAATGTTCTTTTTGTGAATTGGTGCCCAAAACTGAACTGCATATTCCAGATGAGGTGTTACTAATGATTTGTACA